TAAAGGTAATTTTAATATATTTGATTTAAAAATTCGCTATATCAAGGGTTCGCTATATCAAAGTTTGACTGTACATATTATTAAATGATTAAAATATAAAATAATATATTAATAATCTAACATTATTCTTTAAATTGTTTTGTCTTTATACTTAGAAGCAATTTTACTTATTAATTAAGTTAATAAATTTACTTTAAATAATATTATTAAAAAACATAATATTTTTAATTAAAAAAAAATTTTATATTAACTATTAACTTTTTTATATTGATTTAAAAAATTTGTAAAGTATCTAAAATTTTATATATTATTGATAGAGTTTACAAAATGAATAAAATAAACCATTTCAAATTTTATTTTAAAATTATTAACAAGAGATTTAAAATTACCAATGAAAAGTTTTAAGATAATGAAAAACCAATCAAAAGACAAGTACAAACATTCTGTATATTGAGGATTTTTTTCTCTTAAAATGTGTACAAAAACAAGTAAAGAAATATTAAATGAATTATTTATATTCATTATTATGAATAAAGTTTTTATTGGAATTTCATGCACACTATTTAGGAAATAAAAAGAAGCCAATCTATAAATAGATTCGAATACTTTGAAAAAAAAACCACCGCGCACGCTTTAACTAAATCAAGAAATAAAAGCAAATTTAAAAATATTTATATATATTTTGAATGCATGGCTTTATGTATTTCCGCCATAACACCCTTTTTTTTCATCGAATCCGTTCTAGATTTCTAATTCTTAATTTCTTGATCAGTTGTCATTTATTTATTTGCTTATAAAGACAATTTTAAACTTCTCAATCGAGCATTTTGATTGTTCCTTATTCTCGTTAACGTTTATTTAACCAAGTTTCCAAAATGGGATAATAAACCGAACAAAACAAAAGATTAGTGTTACACAAGTCTGCATGTATTCGGCCTAAACCTAAATACACATCTACCTTTGAGATTTATTCAATATTATCTAGTTAACTTGAATAAATCAGTATTACCATTAACAAGTACGGGGAGAACGGACTTAACATGCAAATGATGTCCGATATTTTTTAAATTATTTTAATACTTTTGTAACGAACTAAAAAAGTGATAAGAACAAATTAAGCTAAATTTGGGTTTTTAGGCGATTTTCTTTTATCAAAATAAAATTATTTACCAATCAATCTCGAAACTGTAAAACATCCACATTGTTACATAATCGTACCATGAAACATAAAAAAATTATTTATATATTTGAGAAGGATGTCATTTCAAAGAACAGAAAAAATTTTTCTTTATCCGTTGAATCCACCCACCACTCTCCTTTCTTTCACGTCTCAGATATCTAATAAGGTATTAGAAACGAATTCACTCATTACTCCTATTATAAACCACCAACACAATGCAGCACACCAAACACATCATCTCCTCGAGTCGTAAATCCACTACTCAATCCATATCAACTCGCATACTCATCGTCTTTATAATTTCTTTAATTCTTTTATCAACATTAATTGAAGCTGCTCCCCCTTCTAAAAGAAATAATAAGGTTTCGGTTCAAGAATTAAAGGAATTAGAGAGATTTGCCAATTACGCTAGTGCTGCTTATTGTAAACCTTCCGATTTTCTCAAATGGGATTGTGGGCCTATCTGTGATGCAACCAAAGGTACCAAAGTTAGCAAATTCATTACCACAAAAAACGAAATACAAGGTATTATTTATATTATTTGATGAGAACTCGCATATTAAACCACATTGCGCTAACTTCTCTGATCTACATAGTTTTTATAGCAACCCTTAATGAGGAAAAATCGATTATCGTATCGTATAGAGGAACCGTACCTGAAAATGTCAAAAATCTAATTACCGATGCAAAACTCGCATTAATCGATTATCCACCTGTAAAAAATGCCAAAGTTCATATTGGATTTTATCAAGCCTTTCTTGAAGTTCAATCTGACGTTTTCAATGAAATCCAAAAATTACATAAAACAAATCCTGAGTACAAGATCGTATTCTCGGGGCACAGTTTAGGTGGTGGTAAGTTACATAAACCGAAAAGAATTTTTTTTTCTTCACTTTATGAATATTTTTTAACTTGACAAATATTCCTTTCTATGTAGCGCTCACTTTATTATCAGCTTTGGATCTTTTACAAAACTCAAAAGATTTCACCAAGGATAAAAATAATCTGTTCGTTTTTACATATGGTGAACCAAGAGTTGGTAATTCAGAATTTGCTAAATATGTTGATAGTAAATTAACCGTAACAAGAACAGTGAATGGAGGTGATCCGATTGCCCGGTTACCTCCAAGATTTATTGGTTATAAACCGCATAATAATGAATTGTGGATATCAAATCCTACAAAAAGTTCATTTGAAGTGGTTAAATGTGATGGTCCCGAAGATAAAAAATGTTCTCTTTCGGTATCGATTCTTAAATTAAACTTATCATTTCATTCAGGTCCTTATTATGGTATATCTATGCGAGCCTGTAAAGATTTCAGAAAAACTCAAAGTGTGGCTGATGAACCGGAGCTAAAAAAGGCATACGATGGTTTAGGTGGTAATCTTAAAGGAAAGAATAACTTTTAATAGACATTTGGTTTAACTTATTTGATTCTAATAATAGAAATAATAGATAATCTAAACTTACTGTAATTTAATAAATAATCGAAAAACATTTAAAAAAAAAATGATTTTATATTTTATTATAACTTTTTTTTTCGAGATTTATATGAAATCGCAATTTACATAAATTTTCTGCGCTTCGTGATTAACGTACAGTAATTTTATCAAAGATATTTTTACCATAAAAATAATTTTCAGCACCATTCAAGGTTAACGTGATACCATGTAATATTTAATAATCTTGTCTCCTTTCCATTTTTCTGCGACCAATTTTTAACAAATTCTATGTGTCTATCAACTTTGAAAAAGTAGTAAATTGAAAATTCAATGTACAAATATTTTAAATCCGCCGCACAATTCTCTAGAAAATCCTCGAAATCATCTAACCTATCGATAATCTTTATAAGGTTGACGTAATAAAGTTGTTTGGGTAAAATCTTTGCCATATCAATGATGGTTTCTGTGTTGATATCATATGTAAATGGACCAGAAGTTGATAATTCAAGTTTTTCCAAGGTTGATAAATTTTTTAAAAGTGAGGAAATATTTGAGATATCTTCGTTTGTTTTGACAAGTACGGAAAGGCTTACAAGATTTCTACAATTGGAACTAACAGGTTCTAAAAGTTTGAAATTTTCCATTTTAAAATTCTTTAGGGAAAGTTCTTTTAAATCAGATGATTTCCTTTTATTTAGGAATATTTCTTCCATTGGATTGTGTTGACTATCTGTTGTTTCTTCATCACTGCTCCAATTCCTGATCAATTTTAAACATTGTAATCTTGGTAGTTCCGCAAGTGCGATCCATTGAAAATTCCCGGGTGAAATAAATGAATTTTCAAAGTGCAAAGTTGATAGATTTGTACATTGAATTAAACCTTTTAATGCTTCTTTATCTCTCACAAATACATCAGAGATCTCAAGCTTTTTAAGCGAGTGAGCAACCGTTTTCAGTGTTGAGAAGATTTCGGAAATAGTCGCATCATAATTATAACCTTCGGGTGAATTTCCAACTCCATTTCCGAAAATTATTAAATTTTCGAGACGATTCTGATTACAAATTAGTGATACAAATGATTGCCGAATAACGTGAAAATTTTCTTCTCGAATTTGAATCGTTTTCAATTGTTTGCATGATTTTGATAAATTTTCTAAAATGGACAGCTTTAAAAAATTCGATCCAATTTCCAAATATTTTAAATTTTCAAGAGATTGTCTTGACGCAGGAATATTTAAAACCATTGATAGACAACATTCAATGTTAAAGACCAACTTATATCGTCTCAGTATTTCTGAATCATTCACTTCCTCCTCATCATCTTCTTCAAAGTTCTCCTCATCACTGTATTCGTCATCATCATCATCATCATCATTCAATCTTTTAATATCTTTGTCTCTTATATCGATTTTTAGAAATTTAATATTGGCCTTTTCATTTACTATCACTTCAAATATAAGTAAAAGAAATGTTAAAAATGTTCTAACTTTTGAATCTTTAATCGCTTTATTATTTGGATTTGTTATTTGAGATCCTTCTCGTTCTTGTTGTTTATTTGAACTCTTAAAGTATTGGCTTTTTTTAAAAAATATTAAAATAATCCTACTTAAATGATGAAAATCCAAATGAGTGATCAAATAGGGATAATTAAATAAGAGAGGTTCTGATAATGATTGAAAATCTTCCTTTTCTTCCAATAATGGTTCATTATTGTTTTCAAGCGTTTTCAAAACTTTTTCATAATTTACAAAAGCGAGTAAAATAGGAAGGATCATTATATGATTCTTCAATTTAATATCATTCCGAAATGGCTCTTTCCATAAAAATTTAATTCCATTCTGACACCAATCATGATTTACTTGAATGATTGAATATAAGGTTTTGGTATCATTGATATAATTAAAAATATGTTGTAAAGTTTCGCTTGGTAACTTTGCGGCCATATTTTTATCGAACGTTAACTTGGGGGAAAAAAGTCAAAATCCCTTTTTATATTTAAAAATTTTAGTGGCAAAATCATGCATACGTCAAAATTACACGTCCATTGTTTTTTTTGGTCATCAAATCATAGTGATATAACTAATCTTACCACAAGATTTTTCACCCCCACGTGATTTAGTAAATTATTAAAATATTTGTCACCCCAAGTAACACCTCCACTTTTCCATTTTTATTAAGTATTCTAGGGACTTTAAAATAAAATTATATTTGTCACGCTTATTTGTCACAAGGTTAATTTATTAATGCCGTAATGCCGTAATGCCGGCCAAAGTCACGTGGTGTGAAATCTTGTGGCGATATAACGAACCTATGTCACGTGAATTTTGATATTTGGGTTGTGAGCTAGGAAAATGAGGTTCTGGGACATTTTAACCAAAGTTAAAATTTTTACTTTATATTAATGTTGGA